ATGTATTTACCTCCACTGTAACTGTCAGTATCCTGACATAACATTGTTTACTTCTAGTCAGTCATCAAAGGGATTGAGAAAATCCACAATGAACAGTAAGATTTGTCTGTAATTGTGTTTTTGAAGAACAAACTATTGTAGGAGCCGTAGTATCTGGCAGACAAACAAACCCACCAGCCTGTGACGTTATTTACCAGCTCTGTACTGGTAGTTTTCTCTCGCTGATGTTACAAAGGTGTTTCTTTTTGCAGAAGAAGAGAAGCGGAGTGGAGGGACTCATAGAGATTGAGAATCCCAACCGTGTGTCTCAGAAGAGCAAGAAGGTGACTGAAGTGGATGTCACTGCTCCCAGAGAGCTGTCTCGCAGGGAGAGGTAGGTGTCGCACAGTTAGCTTCTAAAATTACACAATGTCTTCGACCCTGGTTGCTGACGTCAGGCTCTTTATTTCGACTAAGCATTATTTTTTATCTTTCTCTCTCCATCAGAGAGGAGATAGAGAAGCAGAAATCAAAGGAACGCTACATGAAGCTTCATCTAGAGGGGAAGACTGACCAGGCCAAGGCCGACCTGGCCAGATTGGCTATCATCAAGAAACAGAGGGAGGAAGCTGCCAAGAAGAGAGACGAACTCAGGAAAGGTGAGAAGAACCACAATTTGACACACCAAACAATTCTTGGTTAAAGCTCCAGTGTGTCAGATTCATGTGGATCTATTGGCAGAAATGGAATATAATATTCATAGGTGTGTGTTCATTAGTCTATAATCACCTGGAAATGAGACTGAAACGAGGAGAATGGTTTTTCGTTACCTTAGAATGAGCTGCTTTTAGAGTCAGTGAGTCCTCTTCCACACAGTCCGCCACGTTGAACCATCATGTGGAGTTTTGCAGCCACTGTAGTGGAAGACTGAGCAGTATTTAGTTTGTTGCAATCTGCAACCTCACTGCTGGATACCACTAAATCCTACACACTGGCCCATTATGAGTAGGGTTTATTTAGTTCTGTTAAACAATCCATTCACTGAAAATGCACATCAGTACATACAGCAGCAAGCAATCTCCGCACTTCTGTTTCTGATTGTCTTAATTCAATACTAAGTGGGTTTTGTTGCTGGTTTCAACACATTCATTCAGTTCAGTACAAAACTATGTCTGTGTAACCACTTTTTTTGTAAGACTAAATGCCCAGCAACCATCTACAGTACATCAACAGAGTTCTCACATCATGTTTGTTTCAGGGTGCTTCTAATCAGCAGGTTCAGTGCTGTGTAACAATGGTGCTTTCAGTCATCAGTGACAGGCGCTCCAATAAAAAAAGCTCCCCATGGTGATATGACTCATCATTCTTGGTTAGTCTTGAGGATTTGTTTAAGATTTGTTCATACATGTACAGGACAGCTACTGTATACACATACATGGACATGTCAGGACAGAAAATAAATGCTAATGAATTGTAGTTAAGAGAAAAAGGAGGGAAGCTCTAACAAATATCTTGGCATTATGTAAGATTTTCTACTTTTTTTTTTTTTGGGTTGTTCAAGCAGGCTCTCACCGTGATTACGATTACAGGATCCACAGAGCAGTTAGTTTTGTTTGTGTGCTGCACAAGTTGTTGAGCTTTTTTATTATTTACCATTTTGAAACTTAAATCCTTCCTTATCTCCATGATGCTTCTTATTTTTCTTTACCAGATAAAGAAGCTGAAGAAGCCAAAGGAAAGCGCTAGTCCCCTACCTGAAGGCTTCGACGTGCACGTCAGTCTCAGAGGGATGGCGAGAGGTGGAGAACGGGGAGGGGACCAATTCGAGTGCCGTCAGATCAGGGGTACTCCTGAACTCCTGTCCCTCATTTCAAATCGGAGGGGCATGGGTCTTCCATGACGGTGTGGTCAGGACAGGAAAAACCGGTGGATCAAAGCGAGATGAAGAGGAATGCAACATTTGGGATGCCTCTAGTTTTCTCTTAAAATCGTTGGGAGGAGACAATCGCAGGTTTTCCAAGTGCTTCACTGCCTCTTTACTCTTCCCCACCCACCGTGGTTTTAATTCTAAAGCTGCTGAAGTTGTTTCCTTTCCTTTTGATTCATACATCTTTAGCCAATACAAGTTTACTTAATGACTGGACAGATATTACAACGAGCGTGCATGAGGATTTCTTTGGTGCTTTACTTTTCTTTCCGTCTCGCCTGTTTTTGTCAAATCATTGGCAGATGGAGAAAAGAACACTATTCAGAGGATAAACTGATAAATAGGAATTATACAATGTAGTGTAGTATTTGTGGATATCTTGCAGACATTGGTATAATTGTAACGTTTTTTTTTTTTTTCCATCATCCAAACATGACTTAAATATTCAGTTTTTTCCACCAGCTTTATTTTGTCCCAGTGTTGGTTTTGTTTTGAGCCCCCCTTTTATTTTATTTTGTCATTTACAGTTGGAAGAATTAGCAGTCCTCAAACCACAAGACACCTAGAAAGTAGAAAATATTTAGCTTCTTTTGCTTTTTCACAGCTCTTTCGCCCCAAATGTACTCTCACGCACTTAAACCATCTTATTGCTGTCAGTTCAAAAGTGTTTCAAAATGTTTTGTACTCCTTTGCTCAAAGCACCAGGAATATTACTTGAATTGCCTATAATAAGCATTTTTAAGTTGTCAAACATCAGTGCTGGAAAGCATTGTCTCACGCTGCCTCAGTAACTGTGGCTTTGCCCTGTTTCTGATGGGATCCTCTGTGGCTCTGTTGGGAGGGATTGTGTCTTTGTTGCCTTTTCAAAGTTTACACAGGACCAGTTCACTGTCTTTATCCTGGAATTAAAGTGCTACGAAGAACCTACACTTAGTTTATTATGTACATTTACACAAGTGTGCAAAATAAACTGGTAACTCAGCATGTGCTGGGATTTGGAAATGCCTTGATCAGGAAAACAGTATTCCCTATAATATGGAAGTAGCTTAAAGAGCAAACCACAAAGTGAGAAATGTAGACGCAGCATAAAAATATATTCCTCAAGTTTTCCATCATGTATTTGAAGTCATTTTTAAAAATAAATTCATTAATAAATAAATAAATGACTATCTTGTATTTCCTATTCAAAATGTTGATTCTTCTCTTTCAGTTACTGACTTTTACTTTTATTGTTGGTTCATTTTGCTGTTGCCACCACTAGACTGCAGCATCTGACAGGGTTATAGTTCATATAACCCTGTAGCTGTTTTGCCTCATTCATCTGCAGAGCCATGACTCGGCCTGCACTGTTCAGTCAAATATTTCAGGGTTAAGACTGTAAGTTTGTTTCTGTGGTTATTAGCTGAGCTCCTCCCATCACATCCTGGATGTTTAACTGTATTGTACACACAGAAACTATATTAAAAATGATTTTATGAATCTGCACACTTCTGGAGAATCAAAGTGTTCAATATGAAGTACAGTACATGTATATAGCATTATGAAATAAATAATCCATATCTTTATTTCTGTAAAAACTTTACAAAGTGCTTCACATACAACAACGGCAGCAATAAAGAATATTAAATGTGCAATAAAAAGTATAAAGTCAAAAAAATTATATTAAAATAGTATTATAGATTGTTTACACATAATTCTGCAGTTCTTATTTATAACTATTTGGCTTGGCTTGCATGGCAAACGGGTAAAAGTTAGCAACTACCAGTGAATATGGGGCATTTATCAGTTTAACAACCAGAGTTGTAGAACAAACACTAATCTGGAAGGAGAATTAATACTGGAGTCAGCACTGTTTGCTACAAGAAGTTTTTGGTTATTAAACAGTCTAGATTTCATACTGATGCCTCTATATGATCTACTTAAACATCAGGGAGAAGATTGGTTGTTTCTGTTTTGTTATTAGTTTTTCTTCTCGGTGGAAACACTTCCACTTTTGTCCACAGGGGCCGCCAGACAACACAAAATGAGAGCTCCATGTTGCTGCTTTAAGCTAAGCATGAAAACAGTAATGCCTCAATGTTGTGTTTACAGCGTGTTTCTGCTGGCCCCAAGTGGCAAAAATGTATTATTGTTATTGCAGGAAAAACAACGTATACTTAAAAAAGTCCTGTTTAAAGAGGAATTGGAGGCTTGAGGTTGACCCACGCTGAAATAAAAATAATTTTCAAACTGACTATAAAAAAAAACATACATTTACAGCGAACATTGATAGTTTCCTCTTTTGGTCTTCTCACATCCTTTTAACTGCTAAGCATTTAGCATTTACAGAAGTACACACTAACCACAACCTGCAAAGCAGACATATTAACAGCAGACCTGTGGCATAATACTGCACCATTTATGAGGATACAATCTGCAAATGTCTTATTACATAAAGATTTGCACTCTCGTCTGGTTGGAGGTAATAGATTTTGTTTATGTAAAACTGAATAAAAAAAAAAAAGTACCACTATTACAAATGTGTCTTTACAGCACTGACTTTTAAATCATAGTGTGAGAGCTGAAAAATCTCTCTTCCCCCTCACAGCTGACACTTCATCCGTTCAACTTCCTCATTCACTGGCTTGTGTCAGACCTAAGAGCACGCTTCTGAAACCAGAACGAAAACTGGCAGCCCAAAACACACACACATAAACACACAAAGACAACTACCACAGAGGCAGAGGCGACCGGTCTGTACCTTCTTTCCCTGATGAAGTAGCACAGCTGGACCCTGTGTGGACGTTCTCAGAGCAGGATACATTGTGGGGCTGAGAAGGTCAAGCAGAGAGGTGGTTTGACTCCACTGCCAGCATGCTCCGGCAGTCTCTGAGCATCCTGAAGCAGTTTGGCTCTGCGGCAAAGTAAGTGACTGATTTCTCCTCTGATTGTTTTTGTAGAATATGTTGGATTGAAGCTGTAATGTGCACACCAAAGTCTCCCACACTTACATGTACACTGAACTCAGGGGCTTTCAAGAGCGTGTGCGAACCCAAAAGGGGGATGTTTTGTTGTAGGATTTTGGTCTGATGATTTACACATGATCATGTCAGGTTAAGGAATCATATTTTAATTTATTTCAATTTCTCAGTGAGTGACTATGGTTACATACATTTCAACTTTTGAAATAAGAAATATTTCAACATCTTATAAATAAAAACTTCCTAAGTAATGAAACACTCCCTTGTTTAGGGCACTGTGAGGTTTTGCAGCTGTACGTCATTTTGGTGTTGTATATGGTGGTTAATGTCAGCTACAGATATCTAAAAAAAGACAACTTAGGTAGTCTGCCCTTGTGCAACCATTAAACATTTAGCCTCTTCCCGTAACTGTTTCATGTAGCTTTTGTTCAGCCAAAGTCTCACTTTAAAGCTGCTGCTGTGGGTCACTGTTACAAACCTTTCCTCAGGAATCTGAGCGTTAATCTTAGGATGGATCACTTCAGTTCTACAAACATTGAAGGCTCATTTTATTTTCCTCAAACACAGAAACTTTTATGGACTTTCACAAAGCCTGTGGGAGCATCTGCGCATTATGTACCTGCTTTACTGGAGAAGTATTTATTTAATCTGCGTATTCTGCTTTGAGGAAATGTTGAATTCTGTTCTCGTTTTCACTGTTGCAGACGCTGTGTTGAAAAGTGTGTAAAGCTGGCAAATTGCTGGTTCCTCTTTAATGGGAATCATGATGTGTGGGTTTTGAGGGAAACCTCAGGCTCTTCTATGCGTGAAAGCGTGAAAGCTAGAAAGATTCTGCTCATCTGAGTCAACAAACTGACTTAAGTTTGTGGTGTATGTTGGCCACACACACTGTGAAAGGCAGTGGTCATCTAATTGAGGGTTGGCACTCTGTTATGACATCTCTCTGAGAGAAAACACCACTTTAACAGTTTGTTTAATCGAGAACCTTTATGTTCCTTCATGTGCTACACAGGCTGATCTGATCTAGAAAGGTTCCTGTGTATGAAAGTGACACAAATGAGCGGGTGAACAAATCACACCTACACCCTGTTTGTTTTTTTTGGTACAAACTTGCACGCAACATGGCTAAAGGTGTGTGTGTGTGTGCATGCAGGCCAATGCCGTCTCTATACCTCTGACGCACTCTGGTTTAATAATAAACCTACACAGCGTGCATCTGCAGCAGAGCAACGTGGGCTACCACAGCGGCATTTTACCCAGTTCTCAGTTTGTACTCATGCTGTGACCTTGATGAGATGATCATTTGTGTAGAAAACATGAGACACATGCACACACGCAAGGTATCTGCAAAAATGCACGGAACTAACAAACAGGTACTGTATCTTATGTATGAACAGAGCCCAACACCCTAAAGTACATTTATTACGAGTGATGTGTCAGTTTTCTGTGTCACTGTGGTCAGGGTACAACCCCTATTATATCAGAACTGAACAACACAGACATACACACCAACACAGACTTTTAGTTCTTAGTAAACCATATTCACGACTGCTCACATGCTCTGATGTAATAATGAAATAATCTATGCCTCAGAAGGAAAAGTTGAACTGTGAGTCAGAGATTGAAAAAGGGAACTGGTGTGTGGTTCAGATACTTTGGGGAATTCTCCTGTTTGTGTTTTTGGAACGTCAGATGTCAGGTTCACTGGAGGAAATAAGAAACTGCACCTTGGAGGTACTCAAGCTCATCTGACCTCTTTGCGAACTGGGTTGGGCTTCCTTTTGGTTGCTTGAAGATGTTCTCAAAGCAGCAGAGGAGTTTGTTGTGTTTCACCTCTGTTCATCTCTTTCCCTCCTTTTTTTTTAAATGTCTGTGAGCAGAGACAGGAGAGGGGTTTTGGTGTTTCAACCCCTCCCTCCTCTCTCTGAATAAAAACCACAGCTGCAGCCCTCACACCCCAGCTTTCGGTTGGTGGATTCATGTCAGGCCTAAAAATGTCCTCATTAGTCAGCCAGCAAATCTATTAAGAACTCAAACTGTGGTTTCTATTTTATTATCATCGGATTATTATCTGCCTTAATAGCAGGCAGCTTGTAAAATCCTGTTTCTCAGACTTTTTCAACAGCACACGAATGCAGCACAAGCTTTATTGTTTTTCATTCAAAATCTAACATAGAAACTATATGCTGAAAGATTTTTTTTCATGTCATTTCTTTGAGTATTCCATTTAAAGTTAATTTTAAATTGATGTCTTCTTATTACATATTATCATTATTATCAGATAGAAATCTCAAATGACACATAATGACACTCATTTCTGTCCAAAACCTTCTTAAGAAACCCTCGAAGAGTACAATATACAATGACAATATACACCACATGACACCTTGATATTTTGTTCTGATTAAAAAAATAATGTATAAAGTGTTAATAGTGAGCTTTAGAGGTGCTGGTAGGTAGGTGAATTTTGTTACCTTTAGACAAGCTAGCTGTTTCCTGATATATATAAATGAAAGTGATGTCAGTTTTCTCATCTAACTCTCTCCAACGCAAGAAAGTGAATAAACATATTTCCCAAAATGTTACACTGTTCCTGTCATTTTCAAACAACACTGGCAACCATATTCTAGTTCCAGCTAAGTGAGATGATTTGTTGCTTTTCTTTGCATTATTTGATAGTAAAAGGCATATTTTTACTATATATAATAGTATATCTTACTATACTATATTTTTAGACTAAATAGAGAAATCAAGATAATGATAGATAAGATTAATTGATAATAAAGATAATTGTAAATTGCCATCCTAAATGATAATAAAAGGGCATTAAATATCGTAATGGTTGTTGACCAATTGTTGCCGGCACTATTTTTAACATCTGTTTTGAAACGTGTATATTCACTTTCTCACACAACATACACTTCTGCAGGTCACAAGATGCCACTGAACTTCTACACGAGGACCTGGTTTTGGTGAGAATTCAGTTTCATCCCTACAGCTTTTTTTATTTTTCATAAATGACTAAGTGTAGCTTTAGCTGCATTTTGTACATTTTAATTCAAACGTTATTGTTCCATGAGCTATAGAAGATACGCCCACCTAAACTCACACATCAATCATTAACAGCAAGACAACATAAAAACACATTAAACATACATAATCAATCACCACAGCATACATTATTTTGAAAAGAACATAAGTTAATGACATTAATGGCACCAGAAGCAGCACTTGGTGATTAACTCTTTAACAGACACTGACACGTGCAACAGCTTTGCTGCTGGTTAACAGATCACATTGTTTCTGAATGAAGGTGGAGCAGCGGGTGGAACCGGCCAAGAAGGCGGCTCAGGTCCTTCACAAGAAGCTGCAGGCCTGCATGCAGAGTCAGCAAGGGCTGGAGGCCGAGAAACGAATGGTACTGAAACTCCTGAGTCTATGAGTCTGTGAAACATTTGATTGGTTGCTGGAAGGTGTTACATCCACTTTTGTTTCCACAGAAAAAGCTCCCTCTGATGCTGCTGTCTGTCAGCATGGCGGAGAGCCTCAAAGACTTTGATGCAGAGTCCTCTATCAGGTGATAGGTTTGATCCTCTGCAGTTATCCATCCCTTCCTCCATGCTCTTGACCTGAACTCTTAACAGCCGTGTTGACTGCTGTCATGAGAAAACCTCATGACTTTAGTACGGTGGTTTTCAGTTCTGGGTGAAAAAGAAACAGGATCCCACACACTGTCTACAGCTTGTGACTAGAATGTATTTTTTTAAATTCTATTCATGAATTTTATTTTTAGTTTTAGTTTTGAGGCTCTGATAGTGTAGCTATGTGAGTTTAGGTCTCTTTGCAAGCTCTCCACATTGTGCAAGATCCTCTTGTGTTTGTGTTTAATGGTTTCTTTCCGACTCATATCTCTTTTAAGATCCTAACATAAATGTGTGTGTTTGTGTGTGTTGTGTGTGTGTGGCAGGAGGGTGGGTGTTGGAGATGTGCTGTTTCATGGAGAAGATGCTGGCCAGCATGCTTGCAGACTTTGAGATGAAAGTGGAGAAGTCAGTTCTGGAGCCACTCAACAAGCTCAGCGAGGTGACAGTGGCTTGTACTGCGTGTTGTTGAACAGAGACTAAATACTAGAACACTGATGGATTTCTGAATGTAGAAATGTTTAATCTAGGTTAGTTTTAAGATCCAACATGACTGTAAAAAGCCAATAAGGAGTGAGCTGCCATAGTGATGGGACTTCTGGCTTATTTTAGCAGTAAGAGTCAAACTGCTCTTCACGTAGTACCACTTATGGCTTTTAAGCAATGTTTTGACCTGTGATTGGTATGTGTGCACATATATAATTTAAGATTATTCCATGTTATCATACTAAACTTTATTAAACCTTATTATTTTTCAGAATTCAAGATTGTTCAATTATATTTGGTATAAATACCTTAAATAAAATGAAAACATCAATAACTATCACACTTTATGGAACATTTTATTGGTATTGAATTATGTTTAGCATGTTGGTGAAATAAGATGCAATGCGCTTAACTCCCATTAAGACTATGCAAACTGCAAACGGTGTGCTGAATCGTAAATGTGTAAAATCATAAAATAAAGGACAAGGACAGAACTCCGAACAGACTTTTAAAAAACACTTCTTTTGAGTTTTCATGTATTTTAAATCACGTGACTCTGGGCCTGTGCTTGTGCCCTATAATTACTCCTACCTGTGTGTATTCATTGGATAATTGCTCTTGAACCAGTTTGAGTTTTTACCCCACTATTTGTATTTGTTTCCCCTTCTAGGATGATTTACCAGAGATTCTCAAAAACAAGAAACAGTTTGCAAAACTCACAACAGACTGGAACAACGCACGAATCAGGTGAGTTACACAGCCGCAGTCCAGGCTACGTGTGTTGCAATTAATCCACAGTCAAAGAGGTTAATATATATTTGACAAATTTCTGTCTGTGTGGTCAGGAGCCAAGCCAGCACTGGTCCCCAAGCAAAGCAGGATGGGCTCCGGGAGGAAGTGGAAGAAGCTTGGAGGAGATTGGAGTGCATCAAGGTACCAGTACTTCCTTTCACAACCACCTGAGCTGCATCAAGCGTCCACCCGTGGTGCACCCGTGGTGTCGTTTAGCAAGGCACTGAACCTATGTGAAATCAGTACGGTAGCTTTTACCTTTAACCTCTCTGTTTTTCTGTCTGTGTAGGACCAGTACTCTGCAGATCTCTATCACTTTGCAACTAAGGAAGAAGACTACGCTAATTACTTCATCCGTGTAAGTTGCAGTTGTGATGCTGTGTGCAAGCAATATAATAATAATTTTACCTCACAGAAAGTACGCATTAAGCTGTAGTCGAACCACAGACTGCTGTATTTACATCAGCAAATTTACCTCTCTTTTTTCCCCCCAACGATAGCTTCTTGAGCTGCAAGCCGAGTACCACAAAAATTCACACGAGTTCCTGGACAAAAACATCAGCGAACTCAAAGAGAATCACAGTCAGAAAGGTGAAGTTAGTTTGCACCAGTCTGGGCATGAATTTACTCGTCATTGCAATATTCTGTACTTATTTCCTCTTTGTACTTATTTGATTCCACAGGGCCCCCGCTAACCCTCTCTAACCAGAAGGTCTATGGGGAGCGTCTGCTCTCTCATTTGTCTCAAAGCAATAGAGAAATCGCTGCACCCATCCAGGAGTGCATTCACATGCTGCTGAGAACGGGCATGAGAGAGGAGGTAGGACTAACGGGAGCATTCAAAGTGATAATCATAACCCTCAGTGTGATAAGCATTACTATTACTATTAGTACTATTACCTTGGGGCTCCCCAGTAGCTCACATTGGTAGGTTGTGTGCCCCATGCACTAAGGCTGAGTCCTTACCCATCATCCCCTCTGTCTCTATTTCCTTTATCCAGTGTTCATACCCGATTATATCTACAACTTTTGTCTTTCTGTTGATTACGTTTTCATTTAAAAAAATGTGTAATTTTATTGGTGCTAGATTTATTTCGTCCTTGGCACTGCAAAGAGATTTCAGCTGTCAGAAACCATCTACGGTCCTTAAACTTCTATATACACACGGTTAAAGATGTGATACTGGGCATTTTGCATGTAGATACAAATTGCTGGTTGCTTATGAATTGTCATTTTAATTTAATTTGCAAAAAAATGTATGTATGTAATGTAAGACTAAAGGTCTACGGCCACGCTAGCAGCTTCGTGAGGCTGTTTTGGTACAGTGGTTCTTTGAGCCAAATGCTAACGTCAGCATGCTAACATGCTAATGTGAAGCAGGTATATTGTTTACAGTGATCACCATTTTAGTTTAGTGTGCTAGTATGCTAACAGTTGCTAATTAGCACTAAACACAATTTTAAAACTCTCTTGTATCATAAGATACATACAAATATATATATACACCTATATATACATTTTCTATTTATATATATATTCTGTTAAGTATTGTAATATAATTAGTATTTCTATTCTTTTTCTTTGTTAAAGTCTTGACATGTACTACACTGCTCTGCTTTTGGTCTAAGTCCTCTTTGTAACTGGAATAAAACAGTATTAGACCTGGCCATGGAACTGATTTGTACTCGGCATGGCTGGTCTTGACTGCGTCGGTGCTGTTATCTCCTAGCTCTCCAACTTTAACACTCCTTTTGTCCATCTTTGTGTCTGTCCTCTCCTTCCTTGTCCCGTAGGGTCTGTTTCGTCTGGCAGCAGCAGCCTCAGTGGTGAAGAGGCTGAAGACCTGTTTGGATCAAGAAACGGTCGACCACAGCGAGTTCAGCATGGACCCTCATGCTGTGGCCGGTAAGGATGCGTGTTCTTAGATTGCCTCTTAGTGTAGGTTTAGTTTTTGTTGTAGGCGAGGTCTTCCTCGTCTGTCCAGCCAATGTGACTCTCACAGCTCAATCTAACTGCCCAGTTCCTCTTCTGTTAGCTGCTCCAAATACAGCCCTGTGTTGCAGCTTCCAGTAATGTAAAAATAGGCTACATAATTTCCTGTGTGCTAGAGAATTTTTAGAACAGTAATATGAATGCTGACTATAGCATGAATCACTGTGGGAGAAAATATGTGTTTTTAATATTATATATCTAACAACACAAAAATGGACTGTACAGTAAGTTAACATATTACCTCGGCCTTTTTAATTACAAATAATGATTCATCTCTGAATGTGTGGTGTTAGGAGCTTTGAAGTGCTACCTGCGGGAACTTCCCGAACCTCTCATGACCTTTGAACTCTACACCGACTGGTTTAAAGCAGCAGGGTGTGTATAATATCTACACCATTTATCTCTCATTTTTACTGTGGTCTGTTTCTGAGTTTGATCTCTTTCCTCACAGGGAAAAAGACCTGACGGAGAAGCTAGAGCAGTTCAGAGTACTACTGAAGAAACTGCCACCTGAAAACTACAACAACCTCAGGTGTGTACGCAGTCAGGTGTCTCTTTGCACTTCTGTTTTCTGTATCTGGCAATGACACATTTACAGTATATGTCAATGTCACACTACGGTGTTAGTAAGGCTTTATCATTTCAGGAATAAAGAAAGACATCCTCATAATCAACTTAAATTAAATGCATTTTTAGCCACTAGCAGCTTTATGGATGAAGCTCTGTCAGTCAGTCCACCTTTTTGGTCAGATGGAAGTTTCACCCACCTGTGGCTCAAAGAAGCAATGTCCTTAATTATGCATAACTTTAAGCCTTAATATAATTAATGGGTATATAAAAATTCCCCACCTATACAGTTGTCATGACACTTTTGGAGCCAGCCTCAAGTGGCCATTTGAGGAACTGCAGTTTTAGGCCCTTCTATGTTGACTTCATTTTTCAGCCACAGAGGTTGCCGCTTGATGCTAACACTCTGAACATGGTAAACGTTACACCTGGGGAACATCGGCATGTTAGCCTGGCAGAGCTGCTAGCATGGCTGTCGACTCTTGTTCGGTTTATCCAACAGGTTTTAAATGGGTAGTAATAATTTTACATTTGGGTATTTTACTGCCTATCTGTCAGCATCAATAAGTCATCTACTACTTGCTTACTGTGACAGTGGACTACAATCTTTCTCTTTCTTCCTGTCAGGTACCTGGTCCAGTTCTTGTCTCTGTTGTCTGAGCAGCAGGCTATAAACAAGATGACGCCCAGTAACATTGCCATCGTCCTGGGCCCCAACCTACTCTGGCCAAGAGCTGAAGGGTGCGTAGCGACCAGATCCATCTCACTGTCTTTACCCTGCGTGTACTATCACCATACTTTATTCAAATGTGTTTCCCTGTCCTGCCTTCTCTTCCTCTTTCATCATCTTTGTGTCCTAATACGAAGGAATAAACATTAGTGACATTTCATCAACCAGACCAGTTAGTCACAAGAAGCTGAACCACAACATCCTTTTAACAGATGAAGCGTGAAAGATGGTTGATTGGTTAACACTTTCTTTGCAATGGGGATTTTTGTGTGTATTAGTTGCAGGAAGAGAATGCGTGAATACACAGTGAATAATCACAGTGAATAATCACAGTGGTTAAACGTAAATGGAGATTTTCCTAGCTGATGAGACTGTAGTTTTTACTTTGGTGACACCCTGGTTGAATATGACTGAAAAATAACAAATTTTCTCTAACCTTGAAGAAGAGTTAGCATCACCATAGTCTGCCAGTCTCACGTATCCTTCTTCTTTTTGCCTCTTTAGGGAAGCTGCTCTGTTTGACATGGCCTCGGCTTCCTCAGTACAAGTGGTGACGGTCATCGAGCCTCTTATTCAGTACAGCTCCAGCCTCTTCCCCGAAGGTATACAAACACCAAACGCTGACAAACCCCTTCATGTGACATCAGAGTTCAGTCTTTAAAGGGTTATTCTAAAGCAGTAGTTATGTAGTTTTGGCATTTTATCATATACTAATGATCACATTGTACGAGTCAGATGATCAGATGCATTTGTAAACATCAAGGCTCAGGAGAAACATTATCTCTAGACCTCTACTAACAGCTCTGTTTCTCCTACTGTTTGTGCACTGTGTATGTATTAGTTCTTATTAGTTAATTAGTTAATTAATAGGTAATAATAATTATTTATTTAGGAATATGTACCATATGTGCACATGGTAATCTGATTGATACAGGTTTTAAAACCAGATGTAAACTCTTCAAGACAAGAGACTCAATATTATGTGTTGATGCATGTGTCATCCTAATGTCCCTATATCAAAGGTGTGAAGTACAAATACTTTATTATTGTACTTTTTACTCCTCACATTTTTTTGCACCATTGCATATCTTCCCAACATCAAGATGGGTGGATATTGTGCATGAAAGTAACATGACAGAGACTCCACCCTATTTGAAGTTAGCTTTGTACAGAAACAGTCGTGGGAAATGTCCTTCAGAGAGTACTGAAGAAGAAGTTGAATCAGTACTTCTACTTTTACTGTATTTTTTTTTTACATTATCTGTACTTCAACTTGAGAAAGGAATGCGTGTGCCACTTCTGCCCTGTATTTTTTTAAATTACTAGACAGTATTTACAAATACTATAATTTACAAATAAAACTTGACAACAGGCAACTTTGAGCTGTCCTGTCATTAGCTGCTGTTTTCATAAGTCTAAAAAACATGAAATGCAGTTAATGTACCGTGTAGACATTGCCTTATTTTTAATGTAGTGAAATATTGTTAAAATGTATAATAAGTAAATAGAAATTAACAAATGTAAGTGTAAATGTAAATAAAGGCACCCTTGGCTTGTATTTAAGCCACCCTGTTATGCCACTTCACCCATTCTGGAAAATGCTAAACTAAACTTTTTGTGGAAATCAAACTGAAAGTCACCGCATCTATTGTACCCATTGCACAGGAAATGCAAACAACTACTGCAGGTCAAAGTTGAACCAGAAAGTCTGTCTGTTTATAACAGACAGTTTGGGGATTTTTTACCTTTCGAAATAGATTTAGTCTGGTCATTTGACTTCTCCTAATCTTACCCAGTTCTTGGTAGCGTTATCTGATCTCAGCAATACATTTGATGGCTATAATTTATAATTATTTTTTAAATGAAATGGTGTCTATTTAATATCATACATTTAAAGTTTTTCACTTTGTTTTATTTTGATCAGCGATATCCTTTGAGATCCCAGACATTCCCGAGGTCCCGGATGGGTCCCTGCCAGCTCCTGTTGCCCAGTCTCTGATCTCAGAAAAGGAGAAACTGAGCAGATCAGTCTCCTCTTCTTCATCCACAGCCTCCTCCTGCTCCTCTTTTCACCTCCCTCTCTTAAAGACAAACAGGTACTGCTCTGTAAGGGCAAAATTAACAATTTGAAGGTTAAAGGGTTAAAGCTGTCCTTGTTTTGCACGTTAGTGGCTCCAAATGGTGGCAAGAGATTACTGTGTGGAGTATTTGCACCTCATTCCAGGATTTTAACCATTGTCTTTTTCTTTCCATCAGCACAGCCTCTCAGGACAGTGGTGGCTTCTTCCTGGTGAAAACTGGCTCTGTGAGTCGCAGTGGCACCTCCACATGGGCCAGCCCTGTCGCTGAGACAGCAGCCTCAACCCATCAAAACACAACATCCAGCAGCTCATCCTTCGTCAATACCAGCCCCGTCATGGCCTCCAGCACTTCCACTGCCTCTAGCTCGACAGCAAACCAGAGCCAATCCCTGCTCCCTAAAGCAACAGAAGCAGCCCAGAAGCAGTGCTCGGATCAGAGCCCGCTGGAGCCAATTTTGGAGGCACCTCCAGATTCTCCCAGAGCATTCGTGAAAATTACCTCACCGTATAAACGTAAGTCCACTGGCTGTCCAAACCTCAGATGTTGACTTGTTCAGGCACCCCAGCACACTGGTTAATTTCATTATTGTGATTTGGATACTGGATTTCCCAAAATGCAAATCAATTGTGTCTTTTATTACACGCTTCCCACATTTCAAACTTCAGTTCACAACACAGGCTTTCTGTTATACGTTTGAAGCCAAGACAACTCTGATGACATTACCATGACATCTTCAGGGGTGTTTCCTCAGGAGTCCTGTCAGAGCCAGAGAGGTCATTATTCAAGTCTTGTTACAGGTTGAATAGTACTCCTCATAACAAGTAAACCAATATTCATGTGTAAAATTGGTGTAGTGCCCCTTTAAATGACCCAAACCACCAACAGTGTTTACCAACAGGGGCAGGAGCCGGGCACAAGCACGTCTCATTATATAACTCTTTTTATTGTGTGAATATCCTGTACAGTTTGTTTTTACGTCTACCATTTTTCCTCTCACAAAGTCAAAGTGGCAGTTTGTTAGGTCAAGCTTACAGACAGAGAAGATAATTTTACTGCTCTTGTTGTAACAACCAGGAAGTACACAGGAAACAGGAAGCCTCATGCCACTGACCAAAATATCTCTCTTGGGTCTCTTGGGTAATGCGTCATCGCTCACATTGTTGCAACTGCCTCAGTGGTGCTTGAGGTTGAAATACTTTCACTTATTTTCCATTCTCATCCTGATATGCCTGACTACAAAACGGATCCCCTTGTCAGACTGTTTACTTTATTATGTTTAATATACTGTTCTCTTATGTTGTGTTAAGCAGTAGTGTTTTATCATGTTTACCATCACATAACCGACTGAGGTATTTTATAGTGTTAAGTGCAAATCACTTGGTAGAGCATATATCCACACCAACACTGAAAAGTTCCTTAAGTTTAAGTTAAATTTGTCTTCCAGAATTGTTTTTCTAACTAATTTGAGTGCAGCACTCTTTTGCAGCAGCCACTCACAAATGTTAGACTTCCTTCCTTCAACTTGAAAGCAGGATACTGGTCATCTAAACACTGATGACCATCTAAAACTGGAAATTCAAAATCCAGTCAGATACAATCAGATATGATCAGTCATACTTTTTGGAGAACATTTGTAAGTTCTGAGTTTCACTGAGGACACAAAAGTCTGTAGATATAGTCTTGGACTGTATTAATTATATTTACCACAATACATTTTCTTGTTAAACATTAGGGACACATTGGCACCAAATATAATTTCTGTTGGTTTACAAATTGATTAGAAATTGTAATTTGCAATTTTTGGGTTATTTAAATGTGTATGTTAGTTTTATGTTAAATTGGCTAAATCTAATATTTGCACATAGTCTTGTCACATTTGTCTTTAAAATTCAGTTTAAAGTCAAATTATGCAACTTTTACTAAACAGCTGCTACAGTGGCCACATGTGACAGTTACAGGATAAATAACCTGAAATTATGAATTAGAATGAGCTGTTTTTATCTGCAGAGGGAGCAGGTCCTCCTTTACAGAGTCAGCCATGTTGGACTGCCATGTTTCTACAGTAGCCCAGAGTGGACAAACCTAATACTGGCTCTAGATAAGGCGTCTTTCTTGAGTTTGTGGCAATCTGCAACTACCACTTCCTTATAATTCCACTGTCTGTTTCTTTTGTCATCCTACAGCAAAAAGGGCTTTCAACTTGAACAAAGCTAACCAAGGAAACGAGCAGATCGCAGTGCAGTTCTCCAAACCCAGACCTGCAGCACCTCCCAAGCTCCAGGCCCCTCCACCTCCCACCACAGCCCCGGCGGCTGCGGACACAAGGCCGACACCCGCACCTCGAGCTCAGACGACCAGCCTCAAAAAGCCTCCTCCGAGAAAGCCTGGTGTCAAAGCCCCAAACTGCCCTCCGCCACTTCCTCCACCATCACAGGCAAAAGCGGTTCCTTCTATAGCACAGTGAGAAAAAAATGACTAATGTGCCATTTGTTAATTGTGTGAATTGTCTTGTTGTTCTTTCAGGAGTAACATAACACCCCCATGACATCACTGTTGGTTGGGGTTACAG